GATCTTTGTCTTACCTGTCCTCTTTTTTGTATTGGAATAGCAATCATTTTATCTTAGGATAAATTTTTATCTTTTTTTCTTCTTATTGAGATCACCTAAAATTTTTTTTCAAACAAAAATTATTCTGACTAGAATAATATGTATTAACTAGAACTTGAAATTTTTAGCAAAAACTCACAAAGTAATTTTGAACTGTTATTAATATACATATTTCGTAATTCATAATCTCTAAAAACATTTAAAAACTGATTTTTAATGCGAAACAGGGCATTTTATTAATAGACCTAAATATCTTTTGTCTTTTGTAAAATTTTAGAAGCCAAAGGTAAATAAACCTGAATCCAGCAATTACTATTCTAGTATCTTATTTAGCAATGACTCAGATATTTTATGAATATAATGTAACATAACTTTAAGATTTTAAAATATGTGAAAAGTTTGTAAACATTTCTTCTATTTATGTTTACCGAATTTATTTATTAACAATTGCACCTGAATTTCTTCTTAAAACTGAGCTAGTATTAAACAGAACTCGTCATTCTTTTTAGTTATCTTCCTGTCAACGAAAAGCCTCAAAGTTAAATTATTGTCCTTAATATAATACTACTAGACTAGATAAAAAAAGTTTACTGTGAAACTATGAATAAATTACGTGAGATAAAAATTATTTTAACAATGTTAAATTACATGAGATAAAAATTATTCTAACAATGTCTCCAAAGTATTCTATTTGTCTCAATCCTCATCCTTGAAGATATGATTGTTCCCTTTCCTTCTAGTAAAGGAAGGTATCTTTTATTAATACATGGGAATTTCATTTTTTACTTTTAAGAAACAGCACAAAGGTCAAAATGATTTTTTCTTTTTTTGTGCCTGCCATTTTTTAGTTGTCTTTACTTATGCAAGAATAGCTGAGGAGTCTGGGAGAAAAAAGGGTTTAGTTTAAAGAAGGATAAAGAGGAGGAGCTACAAGAAAGGAAGGGCCAGGCTCCTGCCGGGGGACAGTATTTCACAACAATGCCATCTTTGAGCCCTAAATGTATTTTGGAGCCTTCAGATACCATTTGATATATCCATCCTGTTTAGACTATATAATTTTACAGCAACAGTCTTTTAGTTAAAGAAAAACAAGCTGGGCTCAGCGCCCATGCTCGGTAGTTAGAGCTCCGG